TGATTTAGAAATACTATGCTTTGGCAAACAGGATTAAGTAAATGTTAAAATAAGTGATAAAAAAGAAAAGGAGACAATTTAAACTGAACATGTTATGTTTATTTTAAAAGCATTGAAATTAAGATACAATATATCGAATATGGATGCATAACAAACTGAAAGTTACAATAAGGTATGAAACAAGGTAACAAATTGCTGACATTATTAAACTATTAAGAATGCAGTTCCGGAGGGTGCGGGGAAGTTCAAATATGGAATGGTTTATATACCTTTTCTGGTTTGATCTTTAATTTGTTTTTGAATGTAAAAGAAAAGAAAAATTGTTTCTTGTATTTAATGTTTTTGTGGTGTTTGGATTGTTTTGAAGTTATGGAAAGGAACGCAATAAAAAAATTTATTAAAAAAAAAAAAAAACCCGAGGTACCACTGTAATGACGTTCCTTTGCTTATACAGCCGTACCTTGGATCCTGAACGCCCTGGAATTCGGACGTTTTGGCTCCTGAACGCCACAAACCCGGAAGAGATTGTTCTGGTTTGCAAACATTCTTTTGGAACCCAAACATCCAATGGGGCTTCCGCGGCTACCGATTGGCTGTAGGAGCTTCCTTCAGCCAATCAGAAGCCATGATTTGGTTTTTGAACATTTTGGAAGTCGAATGGACTTCCGGAACGGATTCTGTTCGACTTCCAAGGTATGACTGTACGGGTAAAAGACAAGGGCACATTCTGAGAATCAAATGCTCCCTCAGCAAAAGCAGCCAGACTGTCTCCTCGCCTACTTCTCGCACCTCGGTGAGTTAGCAAACGTAACCTGGGCACAGGGCGGCAGCAACAGGGTGTGCAGACAGGGCAGTTCTGGTGGCTTTAGACTTCCATTTATTTATTTATTTAAGGCATCAGTATACAGTGGTACCTCGGGTTAAGTACTTAATTCGTTCCGGAGGTCCGTTCTTAACCTGAAACTGTTCTTAACCTGAAGCACTACTTTAGCTAATGGGGCCTCCTGCCGCCGCTGCACGATTTCTGTTCTCATCCTGAAGCAAAGTTCTTAACCTGAAGCACTCTTTCTGGGTTAGCGGAGTCTGTAACCTGAAGCGTATGTAACCTGAAGCGTATGTAACCCGAGGTACCACTGTAACGCTTTTCAGGGGAGCCTCATGCACAAAGCAGTTTACGTTAAAGGGCAAAAGAAAGATGAAACAATATTTCCTTTTTTAAAGAGCTAGATTTTTCCTCCCATTAGGCCAAGATGGCCCTCTGGTGGCAGGTGTTCAATGGAGCCATCTCAGCTGGAAAACCAGGAGCTAGAGATACTGAACATCTCCCCAGGCTCTTCTGTCTTTTTGCTCTCTTCCCTTCCTCTCAGGGCCAAAAATGGTCCTTCAGTGGCCCCCTGGTGGCGGTTGGAGGAGATATAAGCCACCTCAGCTGTATCTTGTTTTGTGGTTTTATTGCCTTAAAACATTTTGGTAGATCTTCACAAACTTGAAAAGCAGTATATGCTCGTTCAAATAAATAAAACGTCTCATTGCCGCCTCAGAAACTATCCACTGCTCTCACACATCCAGAAACGAATGCCTCTTTTTGGAGTGAGGCTTCTGGAGACGCCTCAGCCGGGAGCCAAAGCATAGAATCAGAGAATCATAGAGTTGGAAGAGACCACAAGGGCCATCGAGTCCAACCCCCTGCCAAGCAGGAAACACCATCAGAGCACTCCTGACATATGGTTGTCAAGCCTCTGCTTAAAGACCTCCAAAGTAGGAGACTCCACCACACTCCTTGGCAGCAAATTCCACTGTCGAACAGCTCTTACTGTCAGGAAGTTCTTCCTAATGTTTAGGTGGAATCTTCTTTCTTGTAGTTTGGATCCATTGCTCCGTGTCCGCTTCTCTGGAGCAGCAGAAAACAACCTTTCTCCCTCCTCTATATGACCTCCTTTTATATATTTGAACATGGCTATCATATCACCCCTTAACCTCCTCTTCTCCAGGCTAAACATGCCCAGCTCCCTTAGCCGTTCCTCATAAGGCATCGTTTCCAGGCCTTTGACCATTTTGGTTGCTCTCCTCTGGACACGTTCCAGTTTGTCAGTGTCCTTCTTGAACTGTGGTGCCCAGAACTGGACACAGTACTCCAGGTGAGGTCTGACCAGAGCAGAATACAGTGGCACTATTACTTCCCTTGATCTAGATGCTATACTCCTATTGATGCAGCCCAGAATTGCATTGGCTTTTTAAGCTGCCGCTTCACACTGTCAAGTTTGTGGTCAACCAAGACTCCTAGATCCTTTTCACATGTACTGCTCTCAAGCCAGGTGTCACCCATCTTGTATTTGTGCCTCTAAATGTCTTTGGTCCTGTATACCTGAAGGAGCATCTCCACCCCCATCGTTCAGCCCAGACACTGAGGTCCAGCTCTGAGGGCCTTCTGGCGGTTCCCTCATTGCGAGAAGTGAGGTTACAGGGAACCAGGCAGAGGGCCTTCTCGGTAGTGGCGCCCGTCCTGTGGAACGCCCTCCCACCAGATGTGAAGGAAATAAGCAGCTGTCGTCTTTTTAAAAGACATCTGAAGGAAGCCCTGTTTAGGGAAGTTTTTAATATTTAATGTTGTATTGTTTTTAACATTTGATTGGAAGCCGCCCAGAGTGGCTGGGGAAACTCAGCCAGATGGGCGGGGTAGAAATAATAAGTTGTTATTATTATTATTATTATTATTATTATTATTATTATTATTATTACTACTACTACTACTACTACTACTACGGGAGTCAGGCAAGCATGGTTTGATGGTGAAATTTAGGGGTGAAGAGGCTTAAAAGAGGTGAAGTAAGGGCTGGTTCACACATGCACATAGACGATTTGATTTCTCCTCACTTGCCCACTCAACCCTTGATGACTTTCAGGGGAATGTGTGAACCAAACTCACCCAAGGCTGGATTGAGCCATTGGTCTGTGAGGCCAGAAACCAGCAGTCCATGTGCTGGATATTGTGGCAGAGGAATATCCTAACCCACAAGGCCAGGCCAGGCGATCCCCCTCAAGTGGCAGGATCCATAAGGGCAGCAGATCCTGATGTAAATCTTTCTTCCCCATGTCTTCCCAATGTAGACCTTCACGTACCCCTTTCTTCCCTAGTGGGGAGGTGAGCACCATTTTGCTTTTTGCCTCAGGCGCCAAAATGCCTTGGGCTGACCCTTAACCTAACAGAATCCTTAAGTCAAATGATCCCATCAAGGAGATCCTTGCTCCCCTCCAGTGCTTGTCAGAAAGTCTGGAAATGACAAATCTCCAACACGCAAGTATAAGATTCAACAAATTGGCCTCTCTTTTTGATGATGATGAATTGAATTCATATACTGCCCTATATAAGCAGGTCTGAGGGTGGTTCACAGAAAGCAAGATTCTCCCATAATTCAGTGGTGATGCGGCACCTAGGACTGAGCCAGAGGTCACATACCACAGTTAAAGCCTTATAATGAGGTGTTTATCAGTGGAATTTTTTATCATTAGATCACAGGATGAAGAGAAGCAACTCTCAGAGGCCTAAATATCAATGTGATTGCAAAATCACTAGCTGCAAGTGTCCATTCTCTCCATTAGATGGTGCACCAGTCATATGCTATACGTATTGATATTTCTGAGGTAATGACATAACATTCATCAGGCCCACTAAGTGCCTGTTCAACTCCAGTAGAACCCTTTATGTAGACAAGGGAGTTGTCCAATAAGAATTCTCAGCCTATTTGTGTGGTATTTTCTGAGACCTTTGCAAGAATATTTCCTCCCTGCACCCAAAAAACCAAAGTTCTTGTTTACAGTGGAACCTCAGTTGTTGAACGCTTCAGCAGCCGAACAATTCAGAGCCCATATGCCGACCACCCAGAAATGAATGCTTCCATTTTTTAACGTGCCTTGGAAGTCAAACGGCTTCCGTGGCGTGTTTCTCCATTTTTTCAATGGCTTTTGCCAACCAGCAATTGCGCCTTGGTTGTCAAACATTTTGGAAGTCAAATGGTCTTCTGGAACGGATTACGTTTGACAACAGAGGTTCCACTGTATAAGATACCTCATTGAACCACGAAATTCATAGGCTTCACAGGGATTTTTTCTCCACCTACCTGCCAAAAAAGTTACTTGTTTATAAGCTACACCAGTGGGCCGAGTAATTCGAAGGCTTCTGCAGAAGAAGGAACTCACTGTGAGCCTTGACAGGAGAGGTGATACGCTAAAGAAATCACACCTATGTTTAAACAGAGGCCTATAGAGATAAAACAAATGAGGATGGGCACCGGTGCAACAGAAGAGATGGTAGAGGTGCAGAAAACGACGCAGCTCAAGTCTACCTTAGCCACCATGGCTGCATAGGTGACATCCGCTCTCCACAGCTGCGGAACGGACCATCCCACCAGCGGATCTGCCTCGTCGTTGTATACAGGCACAGAGGTGAACCTGGGAAAGAGCTTCTGGATCTGTCCCACTGCTTCAGTTTCTTGTTCTAAGATGTACAGCGACCGCCCAGCTCCCTGTGGGAAAAGCTGTTGTTATTTATTTGATAGATAGCCTATTTCGCAAGGCAGTTATAAAAAAGTAAAGGACCTCTGGACGGTTCAGTCCAGTCAAAGGCAACTATGGGGTGTGGTGCTCATCTCGCTTTCAGACCGAGGGAGCCGGCATTTGTCCACAGACAGTTTTCCGGGTCATGTGGCCAACAGGATTAAACTGCTTCTGGCACAATGGGACACCGTGACAGAAACTAGAGCACATGGAAATGCTGTTTATCTTCCCTCCACAGTAGTACCTATTTATCTACTTGCACAGGTGTGCTTTCAAATTCCTAGGTTGGCAGGAACTGGGACAGAGCAACAGGAGCTCACCCCGTTGCGGGGATTCGAACCACCAACCTTCTGATTGGCAACCTCAAGAGGCTCAGTGGTTTAGACCACAGCAGCACCAAGTATAACAACTAGATCATGTTATTGAAGCACCTGGGATTTTCTAAAGTGGTGTAAAGATGCTATGTGGAATTAAAAAACAAATTGTTGCAAGAAACAGTTGTCAACGTTTGAATTCAATTCAGAATCTTTGCACCACGTAGCAAGTTGTGTTTTTTTTTAGTGCACAAGAGGCAATTAAATGTGAACACTTAACTTGGGACAGGCACATTTCAGCAGCAAATTGAGCAGGGAGCTGACCTTCTTATGCATGGCAATGTAGTCTAGCCGGACGCCAGTCTCTCCAGTGAAGAAATTAGTTCCATTGTGGCAGTGACACAGGAGGCTCCAGCACATGGGGGACTTTGGGAATGGGTGGAAGGAGTCTCCAGGACCTCCAAATTTCAGCTGAGAACTGGCTTGTCTTAAACCTTCAGAGCAAGCATCATAGTAGTTGAGAAATCCTAGGAGCAAAATTGAACAGTCAACAATAGGCCTAGTGTTTCAGTAGTAATATCTAGCTCCAAGGAGAGGAAAATGTCTCGTTTCTTCAGAACATACTGGAGTGAAACAGGGCAAAGAAGGCCATAACGTACCACATTTGTTCTGCAAAAATCAACAAATTATGGACTGTTTATATAAGCAGGAGGTATAGGTATCTGTATGGCTGTGATCACGTCATGCTATGGGCTATAGACACCCATTGAAGATTCCAGTAGCTGCAATGTAATCCTGACACACAGAATTCTTAAAGCGTGTTTCTAGCCCTCATAACTGTAAAAAGTAAAAGGGAAAGGACCCAAGGATGGTTACGTCCAGTCAAAGGCAAGTATGGGGTTGCGGTGCTCATCTCGCTTTCAGGCTGAGAGAGCCAGCGTTTGCCCACAGACAGCTTTCCAGGTCATGTGGCCAGCAGGACTAAACCACTTCTGGTGCAACGGGACACCGTGACGGAAACCAGAGCACACAGAAACGCTGTTTACCTTCCTGCCGCAGTGGTATCTATTTATCTACTTGCACTGGCGTGCTTTCGAACTGTTTGTCTGCTAGCACAAACACAAAGAAGGGTATTGTGGTACCTAAAAGACAAATATTTGGAGTGGAGTCCCTAAGATGATTGGATGGTGCCTTGTACGTCTCTTTCCGGCAACTCCTGTAGCCAAGCTGGTGCCAAACGTATTGCTCTGCTTTCCTTTGGACCACATCAGTGAGGCTGAGAGGGAGGTCTTGTCAACTGGGCAGCTCAGGACCTCCGCTTACACTGCCCAGGCTTGCACGCCAGGGAGGACACATTGATGCTGCCAATGCAGCAGTTTGACCTCACCCCCAAAGGCACACTCCATTGTCTCTTGAGACAGATGCCAACAACAACCTGAGGTACCTATAGTTCCATTCTCAGCAACATGGTAGGTCAAAAGATTTATGTTTTTGAAAAACGGCTAAGCACTATTACCACAGTGTTACTATAAAACACTTTATTTCTATAATTTACTTAGTTTCTCCTAGGCAAATTCCTGCTGTAACCCCGGTGCCCAGTTTGGTAATTTGCATGTGTTGATTTAGCTTTTAAGAGCTCGAATGACGAAAAAATATCTCTGTGAGATGGCAATTTGTGCTGAGCTTTTTACAGGGTTTAAAACGGAACATTTCTTTATCTTGTTTTCATTAGCCCTGATCTCTGAACTTTCCCCACTCTGCTCATAGTTAAAAACCGGGAGGATTCAAAAGAGGCTTACCATTAACTGTCATGGATACGTTGTCAAAGTCATGGTGATCTGGCTCGTTCCAAGTCTCAAAATTCCATTTAGAAACATGCTTCAATCCATAACGTTCTGGAAATCAAATCTGCATTAATTACAGCTTTGTCATATTAAGGAGTAGGCTTTCATTTAGCCGCACACGGAAATCTCAGTTGAAAGGCTATTGTCCCAAACCACCTCTTATTCCTTTAAGAGGACTTTCTACCTTTAAGAGGGCATGTTCACACACACACCACAATCCAGGACAGATGTCACTTCCACAGATTAGTATTCTGTCTCAGGGCCCAATGTATGGGCTGGATGTTGATTTACAGGATAAGTTGCAAAGGGGGTGGCAGGAAGAAAAAACTCCCCCACTTTTTTTCTGGTTCCATCCCCCAATTGATTTCCCCATGGGCCAATGTCTTTCCACAGAAATGAAAAGGTGCCCTAGAGCAGGGTTTTCCAAACCTGGGTCTCCAGCTGTTTTTGGACTACAAATCCCACCATCCATAGCTAGCAGGATCAATGGTCAGGAATGATGGAAATTGTAGTCCAAAAACATCCGGAAACCCAAGTTTGTAAAACCCTGCTCTAGAGCAATCCTCGTCTAGTTGCTAATCTTGCCTTGAAGTTTGATGTCCTATACAGTCATACCTTAGATCTCAAATGCCTTGGCTCCCAAACAAATTGGCTCTTGAACGATCGAAACTCGCTTTTCAAACGTTCTTTTGGAAGCCGAACGTCCGACACAGGTTCCGTGACTTCCGATTGGCTGCAGGAGCTTCCTGCAGCCAATCAGAAGTCGCACTTTGGTTTCCGAACATTTTGGATGTCCAACGGACTTCCAGAACGGATTCCGTTCGACTTCCAAGGTACGACTATAGTTGCTTGTGGAATCCCCTGTTGATGTTCTCTTGGCCATTCAACTGCAATCGTACACAGTTTAGTAAATTATAAGCCATGAAGCACACTAACTTAGGGTCATTTAAAGAAAGGTTCAAGGATATTTTTTTTTAAAAAAACACACATTTTCCCTGGACATTGCCCTTTAAGACGTGTTTATGGAAACGCTGTGCTGACAAATTAACATTTTGTTAACTCACCTATATATCTTTCGGCCAACTGTGTAACCAGGTCCTTCCATTGTATCACCTGCCTTTTATCTTCAAAGTCAGTGAAGTATCCTGAGGGACTTCCCATCAATTCGAATCCTGAGTTTGGGAGGGGGGGAAACCCACACAAACCTGTTCAGCGCTTTTGAATTGAGCAGTGCCAAGCATCCATTGGTCTGCGCTTGGCGCCATGGCCAAGAGCCAAAGAACTATGTGGCCGTGAACATGGGTAGGCGATGGGGGAGTCTGGCAGCAGGCCCAGACATTCTCTGCATGACTTTGGCAGTTTGCAAAGAAGAGAGAGAAAGGAAAGAGCTAAACAAGTGGTGATAAAGGCACAGGGTGCGGGTTCAGACAATCAGGGTTTTTTTTTAAAGGTACACAAATCTATTGGGCGCATCTAAAATGGCTCTTTGGGTCCAAGTCATGACACCTTTCCATTTGATCATACAAATACTCTCAGTGGATTAGGGCTCCTTTGAGAGAAGGGGCAGGATATAAGTATATGTCAGGCTTCAGAGAATCAGATCCCACCCCCGGTGGCAGCCAAGAAGCAGATAATCGACAGTGGCGTAGCGTGGGTTGTCAGCACCCGGGGCAAGGCAAGTAATTTGCGCCCCCTAACCCGTGGATTTGCGCCCCTAACCTGTGGATTTGCCCTAACCCCAGATGTTGCGCCCGGCCCCCCCATGCACCCCCCACGCTACGCCACGAACGAGAAGAGTTCTTACCACATAATTTATTCAGTATTCACAGAGAGAGACGAAGGAATGCAGTCTCTATTAAATAATGGCATTGCTCTGACTGAAATCCAACCTGCTCCATCTCTCCTATTCTACGTCATCCCTGCGCCGGCCGATCTGAGCTTTCTGCCTCTGAGCTCTCTGTTCTACTATTCTCAATGCCCGCCTGGTCCTGGGAGAGGGGGTATCAGGAATGCTTTCCAAAGACATTGAGTTTGTCAGCTGTCTCTCCTCCGGTGCTTCTTCTTTCTGCTGTTCCTCTCCCAATTATTTTCCAGCTTTTGCCCTCTGCAGCCTCTGTACTATGGCCTTCTGCAAACCACTGTTCTAAATCTATAAGGTAAAGGTAAAGGGACCCCTGACCATTAGGTCCAGTCGTGGCCGACTCTGGGGTTGCGCCGCTCATCTCGCTTTATTGGCCGAGGGAGCCAGCGTACAGCTTCCGGGTCATGCGGCCAGCATGACTAAGCCGCTTCTGGTGAACCAGAGCAGCTCACGGAAACGCCATTTACCTTCCCGCTGGAGTGGTACCTATTTATCTACTTGCACTTTGACGTGCTTTCGAACTGCTAGGTTGGCAGGAGCAGGGACCGAGCAACGGGAGCTCACCCCGTCATGGGGATTCGAACCGCCGACCTTCTGATCGGCAAGCCCTAGGCTCTGTGGTTTAACCCACAGCACCACCTGTGTCCTCTAAATCTATACTGTCCTCCTATTCTTAGGAAAGTGGAGGAAGGGGCCCGGGGCGGTCCCCACCTGTCAGGGAACTGACATCAGAGCGAGAGGCGAAGAGGAGGCTACCAGATGGTGCTGGCGAAGGACCCAGCACCAGGGGGAGAAGCAGCTCGGTAGAGGGGGAAGGAAATCAGCACAACACCAGGGATAAAGGGGGGCAGATGGGGGAAGCAGAGAGAGAGCTCTAGGACTCTTCACTGGACATCAGTGAAGAGAGCACAGGTCCTCCACTACCCACGCCCTCCCTGCGCAGAAGACTCCCGCGCAGTGAGAGGAGGAGGAGACTGGGAGTCAAACAGCTTCTATGCTGGAAGAGGTTTAAGAAACGCCCACAGACAGATTCTGCTAGCGACTGAGACAGCCACGCGGAGATGGGCTGTGCAGTCAGAACGGTTTAACAAGGCAATTTAGCCTAGAGAGGCGGCAGTTTAAGCACGAGTAACTCATACCCATTACACCACCATTCCTCCTCAGTCCAGCCCCTGACAGCATAGAATTCTACAGTTGGAAAGGACCCCAAGGGTCATCAAGTCCAAACCCTTGCAATGCAGGAATCTTAACTAAAGCATCCATGACAGATGGTCATCTGAACTCGGATTAAAAACTTCCAAGGAAGGAAAGTTCACCACCTTCTAGAGTCCATTCCACTGTTGAACGGCTCTTACTGTTAGAAAGTTCTTCCTGATGTTGACTTGGAATCTCCCTTCTTGCAACTTGAAGCTTTGGGTCCTACCCCTCCAGAGCAGGAGAAAACAAGCTTGCTCCAGCTCTTTAGATATTTGAAGACTGCTACTATCTCTCCTCTCAGTCTCTTTTCCAGACTAAACATACCCAACTCCCTCAATTGCTCCTCCTAAGGCTTAGTTTCCAGATCCTTGACCATCTTGGTTGCCTTCCTCTGCACATGCTCCATCTTGTCAATATCCTTCTTCTATTGTCGCATCCAGTGCTGGACACAGGACTCCTGTGTCCAAGGCAGAATAAAGCAGAGCTATTCCTTCCCTTGATTGGAACACTATACTTCTGTTGATGCAGTCGTGAATAGCATTAGCTGTTTTTGCTGCTGCATTACACTGCTGACTCATGGTAAACTTCTCAGCTAAAAAAACCCCTAGATCCTTTTCACATGTACTGCTGGCAAGCCATGTGTTTCCCTTGAGTTCCAAAGAAAAAGGACACCATTCAGCTGAGTTGGGAGCCTACACTTCAGTGCTTATATTATTGCAGAGATTGCAGAAACTCCCAATTTGCCCTTGCCCCTTGCTCATTAAAGTTGGTGGAAGTTTAACATAACATTGGCGTGTTAAATTTCTGCTGTTCTCAAAGAAAGCAAAGCACTGTACAGTGATACCTGTGGGTTAAGTACTTAATTCGTTCCGGAGGTCCGTTCTTAACCTGAAACTGTTCTTAACCTGAAGCACCACTTTAGCTAATGGGGCCTCCTGCTGCCGCTGCACCGCTGGAGAACGATTTCTGTTCTCATCCTGAAGCAAAGTTCTTAACCCAAGGTACTATTTCTGGGTTAGCGGAGTCTGTAACCTGAAGCGTATGTAACCTGAGGTACCACTGTACAGAACTCCAAACAACTTAAGCTATACATTGTTTAAGGGATCTTAGAATTGGCAGTATTTTTTTATAGAAAAACTAGTGAATAGATTTACCAGGACGTAGCTTGTTTTCCCAAAGAAGATCCATGAAGTTATCCAGGTTGGTGAAATTGTAATGAAGTGTCCCATTGGCCTCCCTGCAGAAAACATTTGATTAGATCCATTGCAAACCAAATCAATTCCCCATTAAATACGAAGACTTTGGGCCAGAGCAATCATGCTTATTCATAAAATGACAACCTGCATGAGCAAATGACCCATGAGACTTCCAAGATCATAGGCATGACTTTCCTGTCAATAATAATAATAATAATAATAATAATAATTTATTATTTATACCCCGCCCATCTGGCTGGGTTTCCCCAGCCACTCTGGGCGGCTTCCAACAGAATATTAAAATACAATAACCTATTAAACATTAAAAGCTTTCCTATACAGAGCTGCCTTCAGATGTCTTCTAAAAGTCTGGTAGTTGTTTTTCTCTTTGGCATCTGGTGGGAGGGCGTTCCACAGGGTGGGTGCCACCACTGAGAAGGCCCTCTGCCTGGTTCCCTGTAACTTGGCTTCTTGCAGCAGGGGAGGAGGAAGAGTGGAAGGAAGGCAGGTACAGACAGGTACAGACAGCATCAGGTTCTGCTCCAGTCCGACTGATTTCCTTCACCCCAATTTTACATGTTATCATTTATCTTATTACTTTAAATTTTAAACTGCTTTGGGTGCCTTGACAGAAAGGTGGTATTCAAATGAAATAAATATTGTCTTAAATGCAATATTTTTGTATGAGCAAACCACATGACCTCAGTTTTCTGAAAATGATCATAGATGATTTTACGCATGGAGCCTCTTTTGGTAACTAAGCAAAACTTCCAAGTTGTTCATTCAAGGAAGAGGACACCTTTGAGGGGAGAAAACAGTTCTGTACCCTGAGGTTAGTTAGCTGAGTCTCTGCCAGATGCTCCCCTATGGACTATTAAAATATTTACTTACACAGCGAACAAGCAAAAAAATAATTAACTTTAGTTTTGTGGCAGCCAAATACAGCACGTGCTGCCATCACAAAAGGAGGTGGAGGACATCAAAATATCTTACTGAGTTTGGCAATGCAAGAAATCTATTGTGAGAGGATTTTTATCATACCATGCGTATCTATAGAAGAATGAACTGGCACCGGTATTTGGACAAAGGGATGTCACGCGTCTGATCCTGCATGTGAGATGGGAGTGCAGGCACATTATATTTTATGCATCACAGAAACAATATTATATCAGTGTCGCTGAGCTGTATATGCAACACGCTCACATGCTGGCCCGGTTACAGCATATCTCCTTTCCCCAGCCAGATGAAAAGGCTACAGGGAGCTGAGGAAAGTCCAGTTTGTGTAGGGAACAATGAGGGTAGGCTTTCCAGGACCTCGGAGAGCACCTCACAAAGAAGGATTTTGCTTCATTAAGCCAAACCAAGCAGCGGTGGTGTCATAACCCCAGAGTCCATCTGCAGTTAGGACTTGGACTTAGAGGCTGCAGAGTCTCCAGCTATGGAGCCAGACCAGGGGCAGGACTTGCTTCTGGTGATCAGGGGACCACAGCCTCATGAACATGAACCCCCAGAAGAACTTCCCATATCTGTAAGGCCAGAGCTCAGACACCACAGGCACCCCTGAGGAACCAAATGCCTCCAAATGGACCTAAATAGTCCAGCGGTTCAGGGAGCATGCCAACAGGAGTGCCCATCCTCTGATCAGAAGGTTGGCCCTTTAAGAACCTAAAGTTAGCCACCAGGGAGTGGCACCTGAGCAAGGTAGCCTAGAACCAGAATCTTGAAAAGGCTGAGTCAACTCTCAGCTTCTGTCAGAGCTATCCCTGGTCCACCAACCCCTGACCTGCCTTGTTGCCTTCTCTGCAGGGTCCAGCATCCAGCCCAAGGATGACAAGTGTTAGCCAACTCAAATGTTCAACTTCCCCTGCTCTTTAGGTGAGAGCTGGCAGGTTTTAAAAAGCTGGGAGCCATGAACTCCAGGGCTGCTATATAGTAACTTCCAGACACATTTCCCCTTGATTGTACTATATTAAGCAATGTCAATGCCTTAGGGTTGCCAGCCAACTAGCATCCAAGTCAGCGTTTCTCAAACAGCTGTTGTTGGACTACAACTCCCATCACCCCTAGCTAGTAGGACCAGCGGTCAGGGATGGTGGGAGTTGTAGTCTAACAACAGCTGGGGACCCAAGTTTGAAAAACATTGATCTAAGTGGCCTCTAAAAAATGGTGTGATCTCAGGTAACCAGTACAAGGGTCTGAAAAGTCAGAAAACTCCAGATGCTACCATGCTCCACTCCCATCTTTGAAACTTATTCATCCGATTCAGCCCAGGCTCTCTCCACGGATCTGGCCTGGGAGCCAGTATTTTTGAAATCAGAAGATGTTTGGATAAGCAGAACAAAGCCTCAGTGTTAGAATTACCTGGCCTTGGGAGCAAGATGGAACAGGAGAACGTTGGGATGAGCAAAGAGCACAACGTTGGCAGCAGGATTTTCCTTAAGCTGTGCTGAAATCTAACTGACCTGACAGCTTGTCTAAACCACCCCCCATTTCAGGCGACGGAAACCAGTCTGATGTTTAATCTAAAAGCAAGCAGCACAGACACAAAAAGCTTGTTCCACCCGTAGTTTTAAAAGTAAATCACGGAGCAAAGGTCAAGCTACAAAGGGAAGATCTCACATTTAATCTCAAACTGCCAGGGGGGGAGGTTGTGGTTTTAATTTTCCACGCAGGATTTGCTAATATTCCCCGTTTCTCCCCACCGAACGCCCGACGATACTGTAAGATCGCCGTTGTGAAATGCCTATGAATAAGGAGGGTGCATCCGAGGGACGGAACTGCGAGCACAACAATGAGAGCCTTCAAGCTGCTAAAATACGAGGCCTGCGATTTCCCACTAACAGAGCCAGCCTTGCTCTGTTAGCTGATCCTGGGAGCTTCCCTCAGCAATGTGTGCGCCGGAGGAATGAGGCTGTGCGAGAGGCAGGTTTCAAAAGGAGAGAGATGCAAACAAAAGAATCATTAGCTCCCTGCTCGATGGAGGTGAGTGAGCTTCTGGGCGAGCGTTAAATGTATTTCAAGTCCTAGACTGTCATGATTTTTACGGAGAAAAACAGGCAACAGAAGCAAAAGCCAGCCGGCTTTAAAAAGCACAGTCCTAAATTAGAGAAATCATCCCTCCGTATTTGGGCAGCGGGTGGCGTGGGAATTTGTATCTGAGCTGAGCATCAGGATAATGCTGAACTGTGACACATCGCCCAGTTTTGATAGCAAGCTTGCAAGGCAATTTCAGCCTGGATAGCCTTCTAATTGCATTCATTTATTTTACTCTAGACTTTCACAGGATGACATAAAATGGATTCTTCTTCCTTTAGTTTCATACACTGACATATTAATTTTCTAGCAGATACTGGTCTTAGGGTAGCATCTATATGCCTTCAGAACAGGTCTATAAGTGAACTCTGGATAGCATTTCTGTTTTACATGCTGCTTGCTGGCAAAGGAGCTGCTGCTCTGAATATTATCTGGGCTGAATGTTTGCATCGTTTCACCTTAATGTAACAGGTGCTAGATAGCTTTACCAGCTTCCACCAAAAAACAGCAACCCAGTATCTTCTTGGATTGAAAAAGAAAGCATTTGAGTAGGGTGGGGGAAGTGTGGATACTAAATTTTAAGAGCTGGTCCTATTTTCACCCACTTTCCTGATACTGCTCAAAGAAAGTATCCAGTCTAAAATGACAAATAATGTCAAACCGATTTAAACATGCTAAAGAAAATGTATCACCCTCCATGACAACACCAAGAAGCAGGTTTGTGGTAGGATTTAAGAGTGCCAGTGCTTTGAAGGAACTTGAAGTAAAAACCAAAAATCCATTCATGGGAGGTGCCACACACGTGCACACACACACACACACACACACACACACTGAGCCAAAAGATTTGAAATGACGAAATTACATCTGTGATGTTTCTATGCAGAACTGTATGTAGGCATGTAGGTAGTATAATTTGTATACTGCTTTTCAAGAAAGTCTTGCCAAAGTACCGTATTTTTCGCTCTATAGGACACACATTTTCCCTCCTAAAAAGCAAGGGAAAATGTGTGTGCGTCCTATGGAGCGAATGCAGGGGGGAGGCAGGCGAGAGGCGAGGGAATCCCCCCACCTCCCAGGAAAGCCAGGAGAAGCCGCGCAGGCACTTTAAAGAGCGCACGGCTTCTGCGGGCTTCTGCAAAAGTAGGGAGAAGGTCTGGGAGAAGCGCACAGGCTGCACACTTCTGTCCCCTTCTCCCCAAACTGTGGGCTTTTGCAGGAGGTGGGGGAATTCCCCCACCTCCCGCAAAAGCAGGAAGAAGGTCTGGGAGAATCGCACTGGCTGCCTGCAGCCTGTCCGCTGCTCCCAGAGCTGGGGGGGGTGTCATATTTTTTCCCCTTGATTTCCCCCTCTGAAAACTAGGTGCGCCCTATGGTCAGGTGCGCCCTATGGAGCGAAAAATGCGGTAGTTTACAAGCCACATATCAAACTACAAGATACAATTTAAGGCCACACGTTAAACATCACAAAAGCAAACATCTCAGAACTGTATTTCAAAACGTTGACCTTTAGCACTTATCATCATCATCATCCGTTCCTTCCCCTTCCTTTCTTTGTTTTTCTGCCTGTTTTGAGATACCTCCAGTTATTTATAGATGATCAGAAGGAGCTGTGCTATTAGTTTTGGCCCTGACTGCTGCAAGGCTAACAAATCGGAAGCCCTTATCCCTGTTCCTGCTTAAAACAAAACAAAACTGTGTCACAATTAAATAAAAAATGGTAAACTGAACTCTTGGCTTCACTGAATATTTGACAATATTAAACCACAGCCCAGATCATCAATTGACAATATCTGACCAGTAAGTTCACTTGTCTGCCAACCCTTTTCTTGGTTAAAAAGCAAAGGAAACTGTTGGATTATAAATATGGATTCACTAATTAAATATTAACAATTACTGGGTCAAATGTGATTTGGATACAATATTAAGAGGAACTGGGACTAGAACCAAGATTCCGAAGTCAATTCATTTAGAAGGCCTAAGGTACAATATAAGCAACATCTACTGT